AGCAATCTGCAAAATATGGTTCCATTTCCTTAAAACTAAGGGAGTTTTTTTTTCTTTTGCAAACAATTCTTTTCTTCCTTTCTAAGCAAAAAAATTTTTTTTGCTATTATTTATTATTTAATTTGAGAAAATACTTGAATTATAAGGAACGCTAATTTACTTCATTGAAAACAATGTAATTTTAAATGGTAAAGTACATTAATGAATGGAAATCAATGGTATAATATCTGATCTAAACTATTTCCAAAAAATAGCATTTTAAAATTTTCATTTCTCAAAAACTATTCGACTGTACAGATTACGAACCAATTTTGGATTTCGGCATTTAAAATTTATGAAAGGGTTTATACGCTTTATAATTCAAACATTTTTTGACCATTAATAAATAAAACAATTATAAACATACTTTTTTTTACAAGAAATTATCTTTGAATAAACGAGTTTCATAAATGTGCAAAAGTTTATTTTTTTAATAGCTTAAGAAATATGGCGAAATATATAAAAAGTGAGATTAACATTAATGGAAATGTTCTCTTATTTAAACTATATTTTCCAGATTGCAGTCATACATAGAGGGATAAAAATTCGTTGAAAAACTGTTTTTTATTCTACAATTCCATTCTAAAAACATGAAGGGTCATGGGTTGGTAAAGTGGAGAAGGCCGTCAAAGAGCAGAAGTTGATTACATTTGACATAAATGAATTATAGCTATACACAATATATGCTTTAGTCAGCAGTACAAACAAAATAGTGTCCATAAATAACTTATTCACAATACTTATAGCCAACTATATTTATATACTTATAACCAACTATATATTCATATACTTATAACGATAAATAACTTGTTAAAAAAATTTCCATTTAAAAATGAAAAATACAATTTGTAAAAATAGTAATAACTTTGGTCCCTAAGTAATAAGTTAGCAAAACTATCATATAATGATAGTTTTGTTAATACAAACTGAATGTTAATGACTGAAATATTTAGGGTTCATACCAGAAAAAAAATTATTTGATCGGATATTTTTTAACATAAAAATATTGCAATTTATTCAAGCTCTTATGTCTACAAATGTTTATACTTACATAATATTAAATAAATGTTATATTTTTATTTCATTATAATAATCAAATAAATATTATTAGTTTTTTACACAAACAAAGGCTGAAAAAAGTCGTATGATATATCTGCCGTTAATTTTGAAAATGAAAAAAGTTCATTTTTTTTTATCTTCGAGGCTTTTAATGGTTGGTGTTTGAATGATTATAAAAATATTGGCAAAAGTTAATCAATTTGGCTGTTGTTTTCATAATTATAATTTGATGAAACATCAAAATGCAAGAATGATTATTAAAATCTTAAGTAATAAATAAAGAAATAAACGACGTCAGCAAATCTCGACGCTTTTTCGTTTTCTTTATGATTTTTTTCTTCTTTATAACAAACTTTTAATGTTAGAATATCGTTTGACAACAAATTACTTTTAAGAAAAATGTGAGAAATAAAAGGATTCGCTTTATGGTAACTATTACAACTTCTTAAGAATTTTTCCATTCTGACTAGGTGATAATCTTGTATTTTATATGCTTCTTGTATTTGATATATTGCGTTGGAAAATAACTTAAGCGTTGGAAAAAACAAATTATAGTTCGTTTCGCATGAATGAAATTCATCAAGAAAAAAAGGTATAATATTCTCATGATCAATCATTGTTTTCAAAGAATTTTCTTCAACAAAAAACAGTTTTAAAAAAATATCTAATGACAATAGTTTAAATAAGTTCACATTGCAAATCAGGATTTTTTTTGTTTTTGTTTGTCACAGCAATAGTTTTTAAATAAATAATAGTAGAATAAATGAAGAAGTAAATGATGCGTGGAATAAAGGGGAAACTGAAGTTCAGCTATCTCTCGCATCCAATACAGACAACTAAAAAGTTAGATTAAAATAAAATAAACTATTATGCTTTCTTAAGAGAAAACTAAAAGGAGCTCATCATTCAGAATATGTCCTCAAGAATAATGTTGTTCCAGATCTACTATTGTTCGTTGTGGGCGAGTGACTGACCTCCACATTGCTTTCTTTGTGAACACAATTTTTTCTTCTTACCTGTGGTTTCATCCTCATTTCTTTGATGAAGGAACGCTAAGGGACCGTCCACAAATACAATATCATAAAATTGAAAAAACAAGAGAGCAGCGGTTCTCAAATGGTGTTCTGCGAAAACTATGGATGGAACACAAGGATTTTGAAAGTCAACATTTTTGAAATCAGTAATAAGTTTTGAAACTTGTAATTTTATTTATATCAAATTATTATTTCCAGTCGAACTTATGTCTAATGGTTAAAAACATATTCAAAATAAACTGACCCAATTCAAGAAAAAAGAATTATATTTCTCTGATAACTATTTTCATCTTTTATAAGAGTTCTATATCGAAAAGTATAATTCAGCTTATTTTATTCATTTTCTGCTTATTTAATTCACTTTCTTTAATCTTTTTATTCCTAATTCAGCTTCTTTCATTCATTATACACAAAACAAATTCAGAACTAGACTATGTACCACTTCAGGCCTGCAAATTCAGCTGTTTGATCTAAGACCTATTATTTTAAGATTTTTATTGAAACGATTTATGAAAAAAATTTCATTCTTCACATTAAATTTTATTTTATAACAGCCGACCCAATTTTTGGGTTTACGACTACTAATTTTCAATTCCGTAGCCTTGTAATTTTGATCCAGAAGATAAGGGAGCTCCTAGATTAGGAGAAATTTGCCTTCGTGGAGGATTTTTGCGTTACATGGAGAGGAAATCAGCCTAACGGCAAGGGGATTCTGCCCCATAATCCGTCTGCCTATGGACGGTGTAAGCCGGACGCCCAGGACCTCATTGCTCAATTTGTTGCTAATAAATTTTATTTAAATAGGCTTGGGGTGGGTAGGGCACCACGTCCAACATTGTAGTAAATGGTGACACGTTAAATCCTCAAAGTCCTCAATGTTCCCACAACAAATCAATACATCTGGGGGTACTGATCCAGGAGTTTCCTTGTCTTCTGGATTGGTTCAAAATTACAAGGCTACGAATTGAACATTAGTAGTCGTAAACCCAAAATTGGGTCGGCTGTTATAAAAAGCTTGGGGTTCCGCCTAAAAACGCTCGCTCATTTAGGGAATTGAGCTGCTTAGAGGCATCAACCTCATTTGTTGAAAGAAGAGAAATATGCTTTCATAAATAAAATGTTGGGTGCATAGCTGTAAACTCGGGTATGAAAAAATCCAGTAGAATTTTACAAATAATATAAATTTCATGATAATTGTTGCAAAATATTTTACACATAGGGAATTTTATAGTAACCAAAATAGAAGAATAAGTGCAATATTTTCCAGTTATGATGACATTAAATGATCTTGAAATGTTATGTAATAGGCATTTAATTCATCAAAGATAGGAATTTTAAAAATGAGGCTAGCTTTATCATTGACACTTATTGAAATATTCAAGCAAGCAATAATCTGCACACAAATTCTATTTTAATAAGGATTTTTTAAGGAAACTTACTCAATTTTAGGGAATTTTATAAAATGTACAAAAACTAGGAGAATATTTATTAAACCAGTAGATCAAGAGAAACTGGCCAGTACAGTTGGCAGCTATGTTGGTGGATATTTATTCTATTCGGCAGTTTCTTTCGATACATGCCAATCCCATCTGAATATGAAACTTTAGGTTTTATCCTTAGGTTTGAGGTTTAAACCTTTGCCGCAGATGGGACACCGGTGTCATTTTGATATATTTTTTCTGACGGTCTAATTACAAGCAAAAATATATTATTTAATTTTAAAAAACGGTCTTATTAAAAGAAATCTGCTAGATTATCGAAAATTAATTTGTACTAAAATATATATAAAAAAAATAAAAAAAACAGCTGGAAATTTTTTTAAATTCATATTCAAAAGTTTATCAATAATCAATTTTTTAAAATAAAGAAATTTCAACGATTAAAAAGTGTCTCTTTTAGATCTAAGTGACTGCAAATAAATGCAAATTTGAAAAATTATTGCTTAGAAGTGAGCCGAAATCGGAAGATTCAAACCCACAAAAAGACACCGGTAATGTATTTTATAACCATAAACTATTAAAATGCTAAATATAATGTATTTCACTTAATTTGACCGAAATGAATACCAAAAAAAATGAAAGAAGTATGGAAATATGTTTAATAAAAATCCTGCGTTAAAAGAATAAAACGTGCGGTATTTGAGATTTTCTATTCTTTTTTTCAGACAAAATTTTACCAAGATGATTTCGCAATCAGCAGCTTTTGAAAGGTATTTAAATAATAAACAGTCGTCTATTTAAAGAGTTTTGATAAATATCTTGTTTTTGTGGAATTAATGATAAAAGAATTTTTTAGCATCATCCAAATTGACTTTTATCAAGTTTAAACCGTAATTAAATTAAATTTTTTAAAAAAATCCAATAGCTGACAAGTGTGTTTAATTATTGATTCAAAACCACAAATCGCATAATTTTATTGCTTTAAAGTTTTGAGGAAAATTTCATAAAAGTTCCAAAAATTATAAAGCGCTATTTCTTCTAATCTATTAAAGCAACTTCTTTATTTTTCCACCTTTTTTAAAAGGTATCAAGTTGTCGAATAGTAATATATATCATAATTAAAAAAAAAACACTTAAACGGGTTATTAAATGTAAAATAAAAACACTTATATTACGAAGAAAAAAATATCCGACTTATAGCTACCTCGAATATAAATAATTTCATTTTTGTTGACTGCTCTAGTACTTTAACCAAATTCTTTGATTTTTCTAGATAGATAGAATTCCCAGTTCAGCCCTTCCTCACCCCACCCCGGTTTGCATTTTGTAACAGGCACTTGAAAGTAACATGCTATTTTCATAAGAGACATATAACAGGTATGAAATAACTGTTATGAATAATTATTAACAATAATGACAAATTACTCACCAGAATTAGCCTATTGCACACAAGAACAACAAGTTGCAAAATTAAAAATAAGTTGACATGTTGGCCCATCTGGTTGACAAAGTATATCACTTTCTCTAAAATAATTCCTTCGGCCTCATAATATTAAGTAACTTCACGGAAAGTTCAACAGATGGCATTTCATAATTGTAACAGAATCTGGAAGAAAACATTAATTATAACCACACTGTTTTTCTCAACTAAATATTTGCAATTGATAAAGAAACAACTGACCTATTTAGCTTTAAGAAATTAAAGGACATTACCATGTCTTATCACGACATTGTATTTCTTTTTTTTTCTTTTTTTTTTTTTGGAAAAAAATTATAAATTAATTTCTATCGCAAATAGTTTATTGAGTTTCAAAGCATTGAATTTAACTAAATATACCCGTCAATAATTACCCTTAATTCTGTTGAAAATCCAACATTTGGTTTTACAAATAAATGTAACCTATAAGGTCATACAATATAATAATCTTTAAAAACATTACCATATCTTATCACGATTTTTTTTGTTGAAAATATTAGCAATAAATTTCTATCGCAAATAGTTTCAAAGCATTGAATTTAACTAAATATACCCGACAGTAATTCTGTTGAAAATCCAAACCAGGGTTTTACAAATAAATGAAACCTATAAATTCACGTTTGATAAATAAATTACACGTAATAATACCTGATTTAAACATTGGTCTAAGAGGGCGGGCAAAAAAATTTTACATTTTTATTTGCTTATCAAGTGTTATTTGCGTTCAAGTGATAAATCCGATTTCCATCGTCTACGGGTTTCCGTNATGATTCCTTCATGGTGTTGCATTTTCTACAAACAGCAGTTTATATATAAATATCTAATTGGTTAATAATGTTATGAAATAAAGAAAACAAACTTGTTATGAAATAAAAAAAAATCAAAAAAAAAAAAAAATCAAAAAACAGAAAATGATACTTGAAATAAATATTTTTTTAAATGAGGGGTAATTAAAATTCTAATTTTTTCTTTCTTGCTCGTTCATTGAGTTGTAAAATCTAAAACTAAACTCAGCGGCGCGACAGCCCATAGAGGGCCAAGGCCTACTGCGCCCATCTCAGTATCTTTGGGCTCTGGGGTGCAGGAGCAGATGTTCCGGTTAGGTGGTCAGCCGAACGCGAACCCCCCAGTGTTAAGTTCCCAAGCATGCTGGGTACTCATTTATCGACCCACTGAAGGGATGGATGGCTGAGTCAGCCTTGCCCGGCCCGAGGATCGAACCAGGGACCTGTGGCACGACAGCGCGAAGCGCTACCGCTCAGCCACCGGGCGTCGAGATGTAAAATCATCCATACTAAATTTTACGGTTCATTTTTCCCTTTTAGTATAATTAGTTTTCTTCCTTTTTTTTAAGACAGAGTATACAAAATTATCGACATCAAAAAAAATCTTGCATCAATATTTTTATTAAAACGTTGATAAAATTTTTTGGATAAATGATCTCTATGTACACTTTTTTCTGGCTTAAATGTCAGGTATTTTTCCAATTATTTAGAAAGTGTTTTTGGATTTCAATTATTAGCTGTTTTGGTTTTTACCAAACTCATCCATGTGGTATGACTCAAGATAAATTTCTATTTAAAATCAGCGATTTTCCTACGTATTTCGGCAAAATGAGGAGGCTACCAAACGATTGTAGTTACAAGAGTTAATCAATGCGTACAGAAAGTTGTGTTGGCAGGAAGTTTTTCATTTTATCTAAATCTATCAACAAAGCTACATGGATAAAACGGTATTGAAATTAAGAAGAAGAAAAAAAAACGTTCGTAAACAAAGAATAGTGTTCGATTAAAAGAAGTGTATTCGGATAATAGAGGCTCTATCGACGTGAAAGAGAGAGTTATAAAAAATCATCCATCGATAGATAATCCTGTTCTAGTTGTAGCTTTTATCGTGACCTTCATTAACGAAGACAGTTCAATAATCTACCTACTCTATGATGATCTTTTTTTTATGTTCTTGCGTGGGTGGTATTTAGGTTTTTGAACCTCACTCTCCCACACTCATTTAAAAGCCAGGGGGCATCAGTGGAAACCACGTCGTTTGAGAAAAATATCTACTCAGGCAACCATTTTAATTTAGGACGAATTTCATTCAATTTATATATATGTATATATATATATACAGCAGAGTGGAAAATACAGAATGGAAATGGGCTGTTTATTATTACTTTAAAAACTTTGTTTTCAATAATAAGGAAAATTTAAATAACAGTAACAATTCAACAAATTCTTCTAATATTGTTCAATCTATTAAGCAACTACAAAAATATTTTGCAATTATCCCCATATACAAAGCTAACAATAACTATGCAATCTTTTGTAAAAAATTCTTTGTTGAACTTTTAATTTTAAATACGGAGTTAAAAAATAGTAAAAATTTTACACTTACTAATCTAAATAATAATATATCATTAAAATATTTTTCAGCTTTATATATGAGGTTAAAAATTAAAATTAACAATATACAATTTCCTCACTTAATTATCAGTCCTAAATTTCATAAAATTCCTATAAAATTTAGAACACATGTGGGTCTAATACTTATCTAACTAAACCTGACACCATTTTCTCTAACTACTTAATTAAAATTATTAACAATATTATAAAAGAAGGTTTTTCTTGGATTATCACTAATAATTAACCAATTTTAGAATTTATTAAGCATAATAAAATTAATTCTATTGCAACTTTTGATTTCCAGGATCTTTTCAATAGCATTTCCCTTTTTAAACTAAAAGATGTCCTTTAGAATTATTACTATGATTTTAAGAATATCCTTAATTGCGATTTTGATTATTGAGAAATTCTAATTAATTTGTTTTTTAATAATTATCTTTACAATGGAAAAGATATTTTTATTCAAATTGATGTAATACCACAAGCATCTAATTTTTCATTTCTCTTAGTTTTGCACTATTATGAAAAATATTATACTCGTAATATTAAATTTGTTTTCAGATTTACTAAAGATTTAATTATCTTTAATTTTCGAGATTATACAATTTTATTAAATAATATTGACCTCGAGGAATTAATCTTACTTCGTAATCATGATGATTATTTTAATTTTAATTTTTTTGGATTTGGGTATTATAAAAGAAGAAAATATCTGCTTCGTTGATTTATACGATAAAAGAAATTATTTTAATTTTAATATAAATAAACTAATTACTGGAATGTAATGTTTCTAAAAACATCTAGTTAAATACCATTTTTAATCAAATGAATAGAATTAAGAAAATATGTAGTAATGTTTATTTATCCAAAAATCGAAATAGACAAATTCCTTCAAAATTTGTTAAAAAATAATGGATACCAAACTAAAGTAATTAAATTCTCTATAAAATCATTGAGTTAATTGTATGTTATTATAAATAAGTTTATTAAAAATATCTTTGTTAATTTATGTAATTTTTACCTTGTGCAAATCCATGACTAACAATATGTGCAAAGCGGGTAATTCATTTTTCTTTCTTCCTCTCTCTCTCTTTTCATTTAAATAAATATTCATTTTCCAAAATCATCAAAATTGTATAATTAAATATCAACCTTACTAAGCATAAACTTCTTTAAATTATCCAGTACAATATTACCTTGCGCACATCCATCTTCGGGCCAATCCTCGGAAACTAACAAATCAAACGAGATCCAGTACTGCAGTAAGAACGCGCTATAAAACAAAACCCTCTATTTATGCTTTTTACTCAATTTGCGCTTCTGAAAATTTAATATTTTGCAATCCGGCAAGTTTATTACGAAAATATTTTAAATCATTCTTGAAAATCTTCCCGAACATATAAGTTTATTCCAATTCGCTATATAGATTTCTAATTAATTAAAATATTTAGTTTAAAGATACATCTTTCGAACCGCTAAGATTGCATGCGTGATAATTTGTTCATTAGATCATAAGTAATTAAAATGTTTCGTTTTATTAAATACTTTAAATGTTCTGTTCGCGCTTTTAGATGTTCCGTGTTATAAAATGTTCCGGTATAAAAATTTAAAAAAATACACTCAAAAGCATATAGTTAGAGAAGAATAGAAATTTAAAAAAAATAAAATATTCTTTTTGAAGCGTATGTGTGGATTTTTGTAGGTAATAAACATAATTCGCTACACAATATGACGAAAGTAAAATTATTCGCTTCACAGAGAAAAATAATAGCTATACTCACGTGACCTACAATCATAATTTTTCCTCCAAACAATAGATAGTCGCCGACAAGTTGTAAGTGACCACAAAATAATGTATTTATCACCAAAAACATGTTTTTGTTTTAAGTTTACACAGACGATCTAGATTCCACGCTTAGTTTGACTTTAAGAGACAATTTTTGGGGTCTTATGAATAATTAAAAGTTACAGAAATCAATTTTCGAATAGAAATATAAATGAGTAATACTATTTAAAATCTTCAGAATATTTTTTTAAAAAAAATATTCATTTAGTAACCCTAATTAATACCACATTGAGAGCAGTGTAGTTCACAGACATTATACAGTTTGCACACATTACCTGGCATTCAAATGTCAGCTAAAATAATGACATTTTATCATTTTTTTTAGACTTCAATGTTGTTCTACTTTTAGGCCTGGCATTTTAAATTTGTCTTATTTACAACGCTTTATTTTCTTATTTGGAAGAAAAAAAGGAGACTTAATAATGCTTAGAGAAAGCATGACAATCTCTTCAAATGGATATTAATCTGAAACTACTCGAAGATATATTTCAACGAAATACCTTACCAATCATACATTTAAACAAAAATAAGTAACGTCATTTATAGAGAAATGAAGGGACAAATATTTTAAAAATACAAAATATTTTGGAAATCATTCTTTTTGCAAATATTTCAGAAAACTAAAAATGTCTTTAGCAGTTTAGAAGAAAATTTTTTGGCAGTCTTAAAGCAAGTAATGGACCAGAGCTCATCAGAAAAAAGGGCAGGGTGCAAAAGTTAAAAAAAAAAGGCATTATTATTCTAAAAAGGCAATAATTTCTTTCTATGGGCTTTACACATTTTATTAAAAAACATTGTAAATTAGTAAAAGATTTTTTTTTTTAACTTTACCAATAGTAGCTAAGCAATCAGATTAATAACTAATTTTTATTAATAAATTAGCA